GGCCACAAGCTGGGAGAGCTGAATGGCTCAGCGCTGACATCCCGTGCTGGGGGAGCTGGTGCTAAAAGCAGGAGCCAGGGGACAGGGCTCTGTCACGCCCTGTGCCAACAGCGTTCTGCTACCACGGTGAGTCTGGAGGCCCGCAGGACACTCCTCTGGGCTCACCCCCGGGGTCAGAGTCCAGAAGAGAAGCCCTGGCTCACTCGGTCCAGCTGAGCTCACCTGGTGCCGATCCTCGCTTCTGAAGGCCAGTCAGGGACTCGGGCCAGGCCCCGGGCCAGCCGGGAGGAGGCACACGCTGTCCCGGGCTCTGGCTGTCTGGCTGCGCGTGGTGGCCCCACAGCCACGGCCGTCTGCCTCATCAGCCGGGCACCAGAGCCCTTACGTCCGCGACCGCGCCCTGACTTGCACACAGCGCCCTCGTATTCGGGCGTGTGGCTAACTCGTGCTGCTTTTCCTTCCAAAAGGAAAGCCGCTCTTGTGCCCGAGATCCAGACGCTCAGAGGGGGGCGGGGGCACCACCCTGAGTGACGCCTGGAAGAGGTGGGGGCTGAGGCCCAGGAGGGGCAGGACCAGGCAGCCGCCCGCACGCCGTTCGGGCAGACGCGGGGACACAGACGCCACAGCGGCCCGTTCAGGGGAGCCACCGAGCACCTGGACAGGTGGGGGGAGGGGACAAGACAGGAAGTGCTGGGGGGTGCCGGGGGAAGGCAACCCGGTTCACCTGGGTCTGAGCCCTCCGACCTGAGGCTTACTTAGCCTGTTCTGAGGACTCTTTCCCCCGGGCTCTGGGAGGCCTCAGAGAGGGTAAGGTGGCCAAGGAGGGCAGTCCAGGATCCTGAGGAGCTGTCCTTATTGCTACACCATGTCACTACCAGCCCTGCTAACGGCGGGCCCGCGGTGAGGCCTCTGGGGCTGGCCACCAGCCGGCCTGCTTGGTCCCGAGGAGTCCTCCCAAGCACAAGGTGGTGTGGGAAGCGGAGCCCACGGCCGCCCTAAGCCCCCTCACCTGTCTGAACTCCTCCCAGGAATTGGTCCAGGTCCAGAAGTGGGCCTTGTACTGGCCGAGGGTGACCGCCATCAGCGTGTCGCCACGGTAATAGAATATCGGCCTGTTTGGCGAGGGGGGTGGGGTGGGGACAGGAGGTCAGGTGACACGAGAAACTTGCGGGTGTGCGGTTATTTTGAAATTCTACAGAAACCACCGTGCTGAGCTCAAACCGGGCACGCGGGGGAGCAGGTCCACAAGGCTGCTGGGGGTGAGCCCCCAAGGTCGGCCGCCTCGGTTCCAGGCCCTGGGAGAGACTCTGGCCCGCATCTTGGGGCAGACAGCCTGCTGGGACCAGGACGTCTGGGGCCCCCTCCCCAGCAAGACGCGAGCTCTAGGGCCAGTGTCACGTTGCAGAGAAGCTGAGCCTGGACACGAAGGACCCCACAGAGGTGGGGCGCAGGACGGGACCGGGCTCCAGGGGTCCGGGTGCCCGGAGACTTGGGGAGAACAGTTTCTCCTCCCTCCCACGGCCTGAGGCACAAGTGCCGGCCATCACAGGCAGGAATGAGGGCCCTCCGCCCCGAGAGCCGACGTGGAAACGCCCGGGTGCCCTGGGTGCTAGGAACGGTCTCAGGAGGACCGGGGCTCCCGCACCAGGACGCATCCCGTCCACCAGACAGAAAGTCCCACCGGCGCCCTCACATCCTCCCTCTGCCGAGAGCCAGCGAGGCACGGAGTCCTGCTTTGTGCGTCACCTGGAGCTGGGGGGCAGCGCCCGGCTGGAACCCACCTGTCTGTCAGCCGGCCCCGCAGCACGGCAGGGAGGAGGTCCAGGCCGTCGATCGCCCTGTCGCTGGGCGGTGCCAAGCCTGCGAGGGACAGGCCAGTGGTGAAGAGGTCCATGACGCTGCCCAGCTGGTGGCTCACCTGAAATGGACGTGGCGGAGGCGTGCTCAGGATGCCCTGCCCCAACCAGACGGCGCCAGGGGCAGCAAGGGGCACGCGGTCACAACCCTACGGAGCACGCACGCGGATAGCGGCCTTCCACGCCTGGTGCGCACTCGCACGGCCACACGCCCCGGCCCAGCACCTCGCCGCGGGTCCCGCCTTTTCAGCCCCTCCCGGAACCCCTCACGTCCTCGGGGGCCGGGCGGGCTCACACGTGGCTGCCACACTCTCGCCCCTGGGGACCCTGCAAAGGAGGGAGGAGCCCTCTCGTTGGGAGAGTGGCTTTGGGAGATTATGCCCCAACGGGGGCTCAAGCTGGCCCACGTGACCCTGGAGCGGGCCGAGGCCCTGTTCCAGGCCCATCCCGAGCCCTCACAGCTGCAGCGGCTTCGAACGAGAACCAGACAGAAGCGAAAAGACGGTCTGGGGAGAGGCCGGCAGGTCCAGCAGGGTGACGTCTGCCCTCTCGAGGCCGTCACCGTTATCTCAACACTGAACCCCTGGGAACCTCCCAGATCAGGTCTGAGCACAAGCGGAAAAGAGACCCCCGAGGCCCAGAGCAGCAGGGAGGAGGGCGCCTGGCCGGGGCTGACGGGAGGCGAGCGGACGGGACGGCGACTTTTCTTGCAGAGACTACGTTGGCCCCGAACGAACGGCCTAACCCCACGCAAGCAGCAGGACGGGCCTGAGGAGAGGTGCGGCCTCGGAGTCAGGGCGCCTGCTGGTCTCCACGGACGCGGCTCGGCCTCTTCTGGAGTCTCCCGGGGTTTTCCCATCGGCGGCCCCCGCTCTCCTCAAGTCCGATCTGGGGGTGACGGCCGGGTCCGCGGGGAGACCCGGGGGGTCTGCTGGCAGGTCTGGCGAGGCAGGCATCCCCCGTGCACACGCTGTTGGCGGGACTTTAGCCACCGCCTCCCGCGCCCCGGGGGACCGCCTGCCACCTCAGGGCTATCACGTGACATTGCCACGAGCAACTCCGTGTGGACACTGAGCACACAGGCCACGGCGGCTCGCGTCCCTGGTGCCGCTGCCCAGTGCGGGGGAAGCAGGACGGTCAGCGTTTGGTGCGAGGCCTGTGAGCCTCCCTGCAGAAGGCAGGAGACGGCGGCCGGCCTTATCTCGTTCCCGTGGCTTCTCTCCTTGGCCGCATCTTTTAGGACGCAGCAGAGGAAAAGAAAGAAACCCAGGTATCTTAACCGTCTGCGGAAAACGGGGAGGAGGGTGCCGTGCGGGTGGCACGATGGGAAAGACGGGGTGTCTGACGTCCTCAGGAGCACGGGACAGCCGGGAGCACACAGAAGCTCTTTTGAAAAACAGAAACTCTCAACGTGCACAGAATGTCTTTGAGAAAACGCAGAAGGTCTGTTGCGGGCACGTGGCAGGAAGTCACGGACACTTCTCCCAGCACTCCCGAGACTTCACTCCGGAAAAAAAGGCTGTAACTCGTCAAGTCGTGCTACCAGATGCGAAAGGGGGGCCAAGCATCCGCAACCGCGGGCACAAATGACAGGGTGTCACCGCAAGCTGTCCGGTTCAATTCCAACACGTGCCACGGGCCAGTGCAGGGAGGGCCACACGGCTCTGTTAGGTACACTCTCCTCCGGGAGCAGGGCCCAGACGGGTGAGAAGCCGGGCACGCGAGGGGTGGAGGGTGATCCCAAAGGCTGGAGCCTCCCCTTGGGACAGGGACCCCCGTGGACAGTCCCAGGGAGGAGTGGCTGTGGGGAGCCATGGAGGGTGGGCTTCGTGCCCCACACCAGGGCTCTGCTCCCACCCAGTTCTGCCACCTCCTAGCTGGGAGGTCCTGACAAGTGACTTCCTCTTCTTGGCCACGGTGTGCTAACGTGTGGCACGGGAGTGGTGGTGATGAGGAGGAGGACGGTGATAGTAACGATGATGGTGATGGCGACGACGGTGGCAGTGGTGGTGATGACAACAGGCAGGCCACCACTCACCCCCCGCCACGTCCACACCCCAATCCCCGGATCCCGTGAACACGCTTCCTTACGAGGCAGAGGGGAACCAAGGCTGCCAAGCAGCCGACCTGAAAACAGGGGCTGACCTTGGATCCCCAGGGAAGGCCAGTGTCACCACAGGGTTCTGACGGTGGACGGGGGCGGGAGGGCCAGAGTCAACGTGACGAGGGGACACTCGACGGGCCGTTGCTGGCTTGGGTGATGGAGGGAGGGGCCGTGGATGCCTCTAGAAGCCGGGAAAGTTGAGGAAACGGATCCTCCCGGGAGCCTCCAGAAGGAAACGGGGCCCGTGACACCGATGCCGGCCCGCGAAGCCCGTGCTGGTCTCCCGACCCCCCGCCCGAGGGACGAGGCTGTCGTGTAGACCACTAAGCCTGGCAGGTGTGACAGAAGCCACAGGTGTCACGGGAGGCCTCGTGGTGTTGCTGTGAGGGCAGACCCGAAACCAGCACTGGGGCTCATCAAAAGAGGAGAAAGGCCAGGTAAGACAGAGCGACGTGCGTGTTTTCACAGGTCAGCCTGGACGCCCCCGGGACCAGGAGTCTGAACTGAAACGCCCAGGGACACAGCACGCTGCGCGTGGTTCTCAGCTGAAGGAGGAACAGAGCGGGTGCTCCGAGGAGAAGAGGCTGCCAGCGGGGACGGCAGGACGCACACCGGCCCGGCCACGAGGGGCCAGGCCACCAGGCTGCGGTCTGCCCTTGCACACCGCACACACCGCCCAGCGGCTGCCGTCTCTCGGAGGGTCTGAGGAACCAGTGGCCCGGGAGACACGCTCTGGGGAGAAGCTTCCGTGGCCAGATGAGGGTCTTAGAAACTCGGCGTGCCCTGAGCCCTCCAGGTGTGCGCGACACCCGTTGGCACGCTAAGGCTCTGATAAAGTCTGCTTCGCTCGCTGTAACTCAGGCCGGCCACGCACTGCACCTGACGCGCCGCGGCCCGCCCCGCTCGCCCTCCTCCAGCCACCTCAGCCTTGGGAGGCGCCGGGAGTCTCGCCGCTGCGGAGGCCCGGGGGGTGGCCGCTCTGACTCACCTGGCCGGCAGGGATCCGCCTGGGCCACCAAGCGATCGCAGGCTCCCTCACCCCACCTTCAAACGTGGTCTGCTTCCCACACAGGAAAGGGCCGTTGCTACCACCTAGGGAGACAGGGGGTCGCCCGTCAGACGCCACCCCGGTCCCCAGGGTGGCACACGGCCTGCTGGGCGCTCGCCTTCAGGTGGCGTCTCTTTGCCACGGCCCGCCCCCCCCCCCATCCTCCCGGCCCCCTCGGGGCGATGCTGCCGAAACACGCAGGCACCTCCACACGGGACCGGCGCAGGGTTCACAGCTCAAGTTCGAGGTCAGAACGCCTCAAAGCGGAACATCGTGTCCCCGGTGCTGAGCGACCGCTCGGATTCGGAACGTGAGCAGTGTTGTGAGCAAGGGCCACGAAACGTGTTCCCCGAGAGCAGGGTACTGGGGTTTACGGTCACCTGCCAGGCGTGGGGCTTCTTAGCACCCCTGTGTGTGGGGCTGGGGTCTAGTTAAGACGCATCACCCCGAGTCCCGTGGGGTGTTCATCTGAGAAGTCCCCCTCCGAGCAGGTGGTCCCTGAACTGCACCTGTGGGAAGCGTCAGCGGCCGGCCAGCCCCAGAGCACAAAGGAAGGTCCCCAGCAGGACACGTGGAGGACCGCGGCTGCCAGCACGAGCTGCCCGGGGCTCCCTCAACCCTGGTCCCCCCTGAGATGGGGGAAAGTAAAACGGGGCAGTAACCCCTGGGGCTTGCTCCTACGCCGGACCCAAACCCCACCCCGTTGGTGCAGGCAGGTCTGGGGAGAGGAGCTGTGGAGGGAATGCAGGCACTGCGCGCACAGGCGTGCGAATCCCGGGACGGCGAGGAAGACGGGATGTGCTGTGTCTGGGGGGCTCACGGGGCTCAGAGTGCCGACGAGGGTCCACGGCTCACCCAGTCCTGCTCCTCAAGCTGTGCGAGGAGTACAAAGATTTGCGCTCGTATAAATACACACGTGGATCGCGTGCACGTGAACCATTCCGTAAGTCAGGCACAAAGACGGGCCCGGGAGGCTGGCGGTCACAGCGAGGGCGGCCGGCAGGGAGGCGAGCCGGGTGGGCACCACAGTGACACTGGCACCCCGCCCCCACCTCTGGGACCATCAGCTGTACGAGGGGAGCCT